TGGGGATAATAATAGCGCCTACCTCCCAGGGTTATTATGAGGATCAGATGAAATAACTGCGAAGTGCTTAGCACAGCGCCTGAAACTTAGTAGGTGCTATATAAATGTTAGCTGTCATTACTATTGTTATTACTGTTAGGAGAAGTAGGCAAGAATAAGCCAAAGGTGAAGAGATAAGGTGGATGGAAGTATGAGACAGGACAGGTGGGGATGGGGTACAGCAGGGTTTGTACAGCAGTAGTCAGGGCTTCAGAATTACTGGTGTGGGAGGAATATGGGGAGAGAGAGAGAGAGAGAGAGAGAGAGAGAGAGAGAGAGAGAGAGAGAGAGAGAGAGAGAGAGAGAGAGAGAGAGAGAGAGAGAGAGAGAGGGAGAGAGAGAGAGAGAGAGAGAGAGAGAGAGAGAGAGAGAGAGAGAGAGAGAGAGAGAGAGAGAGAGAGAGGGAGAGAGAGGGAGAGAGAGAAAGAGAGAGAAAGAGAGAGAGAGAGAGGGAGAGAGAGGGAGAGAGAGGGAGAGAGAGGGAGAGAGAGGGAGAGAGAGAGAGAGAGAGAGAAAGAGAGAGAGAGAGAGGGAGGGAGGGAGAGAGAGAGAGAGAGAGAGAGAGAGAGAGAGAGAGAGAGAGAGAGAGGGAGAGAGAGCGAGAGAGCTAACTGTTGAAGAATGAGTACAAGCAAAGTATCAGTGGCTGGAGAGAGATCCTTGAACATCATGATTTAGTAAGCATAACCACAATATAATTCTATGGGTCTTCCAAAAAAATGCTCCCAATCCCCAGAGGAATTGACTGACTCATTTTTAAATTCTAGCCCCGAACTGAACTGTCTTTGCTGATGAATGAGGGCCCACTCAGCTAGCTCACATTATTTAGCCAGCTCCAGACTGTGCTTCACATCTCTTCCAGCCTTCCCCCCCTCCCCCAGGCCTCCTTTCCCCCTCTTACTCTGGGATCAGTAATCAAATCGCCATTGCTCCTGGAAAGGGAGTATCACTTGACTACCCAGCTGACCAACTCCACCTCCATGTGACTCCCCCAGACATTCTCCTCCTTGGCTATGCCATTCCCCAGGGGAGAGATAAGTAGTCAAAGGATATGACTAAATAGTTCCCAAAGAATTAACAAACATAAGAATGATAGTGTCAAATCACTAATAATAAGGGAAATGCAAATTAAAATACCTCTGAGGTGTGGCCTCAGAGCCATCTTCTACAAGAAGCATTTCCTGATCCCCCTAGATGTTAGTACACCCCTTGCCCAAACTACCTCATACTCATTTTGTATATGCCTACACACGTATACATATACATTTAATACATATAAGCACATATATAAGTGTGTGTCTATACCTATGTGCGAAAGGCAGATGGATGGCACAATAGATAGAATGTTGGACTTGGAGTTAGGAAGATCTGAGTTCAAATCTTGCCTCAGATACTTATTGGCTGTGTGACTCTGGGAGAGTCACTTCACCTCTCTCAGCCTGTTTGCTCATCTGGAAAATGGGGATAATAATACCACCTACTGCACAGAATTGTTGTGAGGATCAAATGAGATCATATTTGTAAACTGCTTTGCAAACCTTAAAGTATTATATAAGTGCTAGCTCTTTCTACTGCTGCTGCTGCTGCTATTACTACCGCTATATATGTAATAGGGGTCAAATATATTCTTAGGACCCATCAGTTTGCTCAAATGGCATCATCCATGTGGAGGCTGCCAGGAAGCTGCCTCTGAGAGAATAATGAGGACCGGAATATGTGTAGACATTTGGTAACAGTTTCTGATTAGCCTATCACGTAGACATTGGTGGTATTTTTGGAACTGAGAATCTTCAAAGGTCCCAAGTCAGCAGTGGCTAAGGCTTTTGCTGCATTTGTGTCTGAGGAAACAAGGTGATTCCTTTACTAGTGGCTTCTATGGAACTAACTGGTCAGGTCTTTCCCTCCCTCCCAGGCTTTATACCACCTCCCACCTGGTACCCTTCTCCCTTCCCCAAAATGGGCCCAGGTCTTTGGTCTTTGCCTTTATTCTTTTATAATCTAGGTACAGATGGTGGAGTCTCCAATCTGAGCCAGGAATGTGAGTCACGGGGACCCATGAATGCAAACTGAGTGTTGTAGCCAGCCAACGTGATGCCAATATTAGGCATGAACTTGATGGGACCAAATGTCATGCAGGAATGGATCTAAGCTGTGAGCCTAATTAATTCCTCTTCCAACCACCAAAGTTGCATAGTGTGGTATCATGTTCCTGAGGTGTTGGAAGAAATTCTGTATGTTTGTTCTTGCTAAATCTCGGAAATAAATATCCCCTTGTAAAAGCCAAATGATGTTAAATAGTTAGGGGACTTGAGAGCTAGCTTCTGGCTCCCTGAAAATAGGGAGACTATAGCCTGTGGGAGTTGAAGCTGATAACAGAAAAAAGAGATATTCCAAATCCTTCAAGGCAGTTAAGAATCAAGAGGCTAAGATGAAACCTAGTTTATGAGTCCAGGTAATTGGGAGATAGTGGTACCCTTAATATTAATAGGGAAGTTAGGAAGAGGGAAGGATTTTGGAGGAAAGATAATGAATTCAGTTCTGGACATGTTGAGTTTAAGAGGTCTATGGGACTTGCAGTTTAAATATTCAATACACACTTGGACATGCAAGACTAGAGGTCAATTCAGAGGTTAAGGCTGGATAAATTTATCTTGGAATCATCTACATAAAACACAATTGACTCCATGGGCACTTACTAGATTATCACATGAAATAGTATAGAGGGATAAGAGAACAGGGCCCAAGTCAGAGTCTTGGGGGACAGCCACAGTTAGTGGGAGTGACCTGGATGAAGAGTCATTGAAAGAAGCTGAGAAGGAATGGTCAGACAAGTAGGAGGAGAACTAGGGCATAGTACTGTCTAGAAAACCTAGAGAAAAGCTCAAATCAAGGAAAAGGGGGTGGATCAATAGTGTTAAAGTCTGCAAAGAGGTCCAGAAGGATGAGGATTGAAAAAAGCCATTAGATTTGTAGATTAAGAGACCACAGATGACTCTGGAGACAGCCATTTTGGTCAAATGATGACTACATAAGGCAGACTACAAAGAGTTAGGAAAAAAGTAAGAGGCAAGGACAGAGAGGTATGAAGTGGATGGCTTTCTCAAGGAAGTTAACTACGGAAGGGAGGAGAGATGTAGGATAATAGCTATCAGGGATAGGTGAATCAGCTGAGGGCTTTTTGAAGATGGACCTTTTTGAAGACAGTAGGCAAGCAGCCAGTAGCCAGGAGAGATGGAAGATAATTGACAGAGTGAAGATAACTGAGGTCACAGTCTTCTGAAGAAGATGGGGTAGAATAGAATCACATGTACATATGGAGGGTCCACTTCTCATGTGAAAAGAGGGTGAAGGAGGAGAGAGTAGTTGAGGGTAGCTGAGTGAGGAAGAGGGGAGAAGAAGAAGCTCTCACTGAATGGCCTCTGTTATTTCAGTGAAATATGAGGTGAGTTCAATGAGGGGGTACAATGGAGGTGGGGTTGAGGTGGGGTGAAAAAGTTTGGAAAAGCTGCTGTGGTAAGTGGGATAGTGAGTTAATTAGGGAGATGCAAAAGGATTATTTTGCAGCAGTAAGGGCCCATTTGAGATAATATAACATAAATTTGTAATGGGTGCAATGAGCATGTTTCATGATTTTCTCCAGCTTCATTCAGCAGCACATGTGAAGGACTGAAGGCAGCAAATGGTAGAAAGGATCCAAAGCTAAAGATTTGCAAAATAAGATCAGTGATAGACTAATGGGGCAAAGGACCTGAGAACACTGGATAGTGTTGAACTGGTTCACCAAGAGGTCTTTTTGGGGAAAGGAGGAGAATGTAGTTAGACAACTATAGTGAGGACAAAGAACATAGACATTATAAGACAAAAAGAAAGATGAAATTACAAAAGATTATGATCAGAAAAAGGAATTTCAGAGTTCATTAAAAAGGAAGTTTAATACTTGTGGGTGATGGTAAGATCAAGGACATGACCATCTCTGGATATAGTTGGTGTGGGGTGGAGAAAGAGGAGGTCATGGGAAATGAGTACATTGAGGAACTGGGAGATTAGAGTGTTTGAGGAAGTATTATATGTTTTAATCTCCTATTATGAGCACAGGAGATGGGAAGGAGAGAAAGACTGAGCCAGGCACTGAATTCATCAAACAAGGAAGGAGAGCATCTTGGGTTCAGTAGATAATAGCTACCAGAATCTTGATTGGGTGATAAATATGGATTGAATGAACCTCAGAAAAGAAGAAGTTACTGAGTGATGATATTAGAGATAGAGTTTGGAAGTGGCAATAGAAAGGAAGGGGTATTCCAACTCCCTTCTCATGACCAGTGAGTTAGAGGCTGGGACACAAGGGAAAATGTAATCAGTGATGCAAGGGTGGCCAGGGATGCCGTTTCATCAGATAGGAGCCAAGTCTTGATGAGTACAAGATGATGACAGCAAAAAAGGAAAAGACTTAAAGATAGTTTGTTCCTTAGAAAGCAGGCAGAACTTCCAGACTTCAAACTATTGTTACAGACCAGCATCATCAAAACCATTTGGCACTAGCTAAAAAACAGAAAAATCAATGGACTAGATAAGGAAGATAGATATATAATGAAGAATGAAAAATGAAATTTATAACCCCAGTGTTTGAAAAACTCTAAAACATAAATACTTAGGAAAGAATTCCTTACCTGATAAGTACTAATGGGAAAATGGGATAGCAATCTGGCAAGCCCTAGACCAACATCTTATACCATATTCTTCAAAAAATTCAAAATTGATTTGTGACCCAAATATTAAAACTCACACCATTAAAAAATGGAAAAGAAGCAGATCATATGCTGTTCACAGATATAGCTAAGGGATGAATGCTTAACCAAAAAAGAGATAGTGGCCTTTACAAATTTTCCCAAAGTAATTCAATCACTATCCTCTTCCTTTTCAACTCTGGGTCTAACTCATTGTCCATTTATACTGTCTGTTAGAGCTACACCTTCTATTGGACAATCTCTATGGAGTATGTATTCAGATGCATCTTCAAATCTTAGCAGTAGAAAGCTGTGTTGTCACCTATAAGATAAGAAAATAGCATAGCTGAAAAGACAAGACGCCCTGGGAGAAAGAAAGAAGACTATTAAAAAGGTAAACATGAAAGAGAAATCATAAGTGATGAATAAGATTAAACTGTTCACGTTCCTATATGGGAAAATGATACATGTAACTCCTAAGAATGTTGTCATTATTAGGGTGGTTAGAAGGAGTCTATGTACACAGAGGTCGCTGGTATGAGTTGATTATACTGGGATGATCTTCAAAAAATAGAGAGGTGAGAAAGAGGAATTCACTGGGAGAAGGAGAAAGAGAGAGGAAGAATGGGGAAAATAATCTCACATAAAAGAGGCTCAAAAGGAAGAAGTTTTACAGTGAAGAGGAAAATGCGAGTGGGGTGGGCAATGCTGGAACCTCATTCTCATTTGAACTGGTTCAAAGAGGTAAGAACATATATACATATACATATACATATATATACACATACATATACACATACATATACATATACATATACATATACATATACATATACATATACATATACATATACATATACATATACATATACATATACATATACATATACATATACATATACATATACATATACATATACATATACATATACATATACATATACATATACATATACATATACACACTCAGGTGGGTATAGAAATCTATTTTACCAATAGGAAAGTAGGAGAAGGATCTAACAGAAAGGAAGGGAAATGGATAAGAGGGAGGATAGATTAAGAGAGGTCAAAAACAAATAGACTTTTGAAGAAGGTTAGGGGAGACAGAGAGACAGACTGACAGAGAGAGACAGATAAATAGAAGAAAATATGATTGAGGGAAATACATAGTTAATATCATAACAGTGAATAGGATGAATGAACTCACCCATAAAATGGAAGCAGATAGCAGAATAGATTAGAAACCAGAATCCAAGAATATGTTGTTTACAAGAAATACACTTGAAACAGAAAGACACATACAGAGTGAAAATAAGGGACCAGAGCAGAATCTGTTATACTTCAGCTGAAGTAAAAAAGGCAGGTATAGCAATCATGATCTCAAACAGAGCAAAAGGAAAAATAGGTCTAATTAAAAGAGATAATCAGGGAAACTATTTTTTGCTGAAAGGTACCATTGTTGTTGTTGTTATTCAGTCATGTTCAATTCTTTGTGACCCTGTGGACTGTAGCACACCACTACTGGCTATGGGCTTTTCTTGGTAAAGATGCTGGAGCAGTTTGCCATTTCCTTCTCTAGTTGATTAAGGCAAACAGAGGTTAAGTCACTTGCCTACGGTCATACAGCTAGTAAGTGTCTGAGTCTGGATTTGAATTCAAGTCTTTTTGACTCCAGGCTCAGTGCTCACTGAGCCACCTAACTGCCTCCAAAAGGCATTATAAATAATGAAATAATATCAGTGCTAAACATATATGCACTAAATGGCATAGCATCCAAATTCTTAAATGAAGAGTTAAATGAATCACAGGAGGAAATAGACAGTAAAACTATACTAGTGAGGGGACCTCAGCTTACCTGTTTCAGAACTAGATAAATCTAACCATAAAATAAGAAAGAAGTTAAGGAGATGAGTAGAATTTTAGAAAAGTTAAATATGATAGATCTCTGAAGAAAACTGAATGGGAATAGAAAGGAATATATCATTTTCTTAGCTGTACATGGCATATTCACAAAAATTGATGATGCATTAGGGCACAAAAATCTCACAACCAAATGCAGAAAAGCAGAAATATTAAGTGCACCCTTTTCAAAGCATAATGGAATAAAAACTACATTCAATAAAGGGCCTTGGAAGTATAGACTAAAATCCACCAGAAACTAAATGATTGAATCCAAAAGAATGAGTGAGTCAAAGAACAAACCATAGAAAACAATCAATAATTACATTAAAGACAATGACAACAATGAGACAACATACCAAAATTTGTGGGATTTGACCAAAGCAGTAAGAATTATTTAGGGGAACCAGGGGAATATTTATATCTCTAAATGCTTACATCAATAAAAGAGAGAAAAGACAGATCAATGAACTGGGCATGCAACTGAAAAAAAGAAACTAAAAAAAAAGAACAACTTAAAAAACCCCAATTTAATAACAAAATAGAAATCCTGAAAAATCATAGGGATAGGTTTATAAAATTGAAATTACAAAAAAACCCCATTAAACTAATAAATAAAGCTAGGAGCTGGCTTTATGAAAAATAAAATAAAATAGATGAACCATTGGTTAATTTGATTTTAAAAAGGAAAGAAGAAAAACAAATTGGATCAAAATGGAAAAGGTTATATTTACTTCTAATGAATATGAAATTAAGGCAATGATTAGGAGCTATTTTGCCCAATTATATGCAAATAAAACTGACAATCCAAGTGAAATGGATGAATAGTTACAAAAATATAAATTGCCTAGATTAACAGGAGAGAAAACGCAATGCTTAAATAACCACATCTTTTAAAAAAATGAACAAGATATAAATGAGTTCCCTAAGAAAAAAATCCCTAGGACCAGAAGGATTTATAAATGAATTCTACTAAATACATAAAGAATAATTAATTCCAATACTATATAAATTACTTGGGAAAACAGGCAAAGAAGGAGTCCTAGCAAATTCTTTCCATAACACTGAATTGATAATTTATGAAACTATGAAATGGGGACAGGCATACCCAGTTCTGTGGGTACTTATTATGAAAGACCACAATTGGCATGGGGAAACAGGGCTGTGATCACACTTTGATAAAGCACAGAGACAACTGACAAAAAGTGGGGAGGGATACAGAGGCAGATGGAACTGTGGGAACATGGGACAGAATGATGAAGTAAGATAGGCAGCATGGGGAAGAGGATGGAGGGGGGAGAGGCAGAGAATATCATTCATGTTACCATGGATTAAAGTTGGGAGCACTAGGCAGCATGGACCTGATGGGGATGGAAAAGTGCTGAGAAGCAGGAGTTTGAGGTCTCACTTTTCTAGGGGTTTTTTTTTTGTGGGGGAGAAATAGACCAACTCCTACCTGTGCCACCTTGGAGTTAGTTCATTAACATATCCATATCATCTCAAAGTTATAAGTAAAACTTCAAAGTTACATCTCAAAGTTATCAGCACCTTTTTGATGTTCCGTTGACTTGGAACTGTGGAGGACTAGATTTTGTTTGAAATCTCCATAACATAGGACCAGAAACCTTGATAAGCAACACATGGAAGGCTTTTGCTGATTCATAACATATTATCAGCATGTGAATTTTGGTTACTATCTGATAAAATTTGTAAATTATGCTTATTTGATCTTTGCAGTGGTTTGTACATGAATTCTCCTTTGCAATCTTATTTCCTGCTATTGCCTCTTTATACTGGCTACTTATAAGCTTACTTTACTGTCTAGAAGGGGAAGGGTGGTGGACAGGGGGACCAGAACAAGCTACAATTTTAATACAGACACAAATATGGCTTTGATACCTAAACCAAGGAGAACAAAAACAGAGTTAGAAAACTATGGACCAGTTTCCCTAATGAATATCGATACCAAAAGTTTAAATTACAGCAGTATATCACAAAGATCATACACTATGACCAGGTGGGATTTATGCCAGGCTGAATTCAATATTAGGAAAACTATAAGCTTAGTTGAACCTGCCAATTAAAAAAACAACAAAAACCATAAGATTATATCAATAGATGCAGAAAAAACTTTTGACAAAATACAGCACCCATTTTTATTAAAAACACAAGAAAGCATAGGGAAAAAATGGAGCTTTCCTTAAAATGATAAGTAGTATCTATCTATATAAATAGTATTCTACCATCAGTAAGCATTATCTATAATGGGGATAAACTGGAAGCCTTCCTAATAAGATCAGATAGGTTAAGCAAGGATGTCTGCTATCACCATTGTCATTCAATATTGTACTAGAAATGCTAGCTATGGTCATAAGAGAAAAACAAATACATTGAAGGAATAAGAATAGGCAATGAAAAAAAAACCTATCACTCTTTGTAGATGATATGATGGTATACCTAGAGAACCTTAGCAGCAAAAACTAAAAACAACTAGTTTAAATAATTAACAACTTTAGGAAAGTTGCAGGATTTAAAATAAACCCACATAAAATATCAGCTTTTCTACATATTACTAACAAAACCAAGCAGAAAGAGATAGAGAATTCCATTTAAAATCACTTCAGACAGTATAAAATATTTGGGAAGATATATATAAACACAATTATAAAACACTTTTCACATAAAAACAGTTCTAAACAACTGGTGGAACATTCATTGTCCATGGGTAAGTCCAGCCAACATAATGAAAACGATAATTCAACCTAAACTAGTTTACTTTTTCAGTTCGATAAAATCAAATTACCAAAGAATTTTGTAGTACAGCTAGAAAAAAAAAAGAATAGTATAATGGGAAAACAGAGGGTCAAGGATATCATGAGGATCAATGGGAAATAATGTAAAGGAAGGGGGCCTAGCAGTACCAGATCCCAAACTATATTAGAAATCAGTAATCATCGAAACAGCCTAATACTGGCTAAGAAAGAGGGGTAGATCACAGGATAGATTAGTTACATAATATACAGTAGCAAAAAAACCATTGTGATCTTATGTTTAATAAACCCAGAGATCTAAGCTTTGGCGGCAATAATTCAATATTTGACAAAAACTGCTGAGAAAAATGGAAAGCAGTGTGGCAGAAACTTGGCATAGATTACAATATCACACAATATACCAAGATAAGGTCAAAATGGGCACATGATTGAGACATAAAGGGTGATACCATAAGCAAGTTAGGGGAGGATGGGAAATTTTACCTATCAGATTTATGGATAAGGGAAGAGTTTATGATCAAATAAGAAATAGAGAGGATCACAGAAAGTAAAATGGATAATTCTGATTTCATGAAATTAAAAAAGGTTTTGTACAAACAAAATCAATGCTGCCAAAAGTACAAGGAAAGCAGGAAACTGGAAAATATTTTTTATAGAAAGTTCCTCTGACAAAGGCCTTCATTTCTCAAATATATAGGAAACTGAACCTAATTTATAAAAATTAGAGCCATGAACAGGCCATTTTCAGAAGAAGAAATCAAAGCTACCAATAGTCATGTGAAAAAAAATGCTCTAAATTACTAGAGTAATGCAAATTAAAATAATTCTGAGGTACTGTCTCACACCTAACAGATTGACTAACGTGAAAAGAAAGGAAAATTACATATGCCAAAGGGAATGTGGAAAAATTGGGACATTTATGTGCAGTTGGTAGAGTTGCGAACTGATCCAAACATTCTGAAGAGCAATTTGGAACTATGTCCAAAGGGCTTTAAAATGGTGCATACCCAGCAACACCACTATAAGGTCTCTATCCCAAAGAGATCAAAGAAAAAAAAAAGGACTTATGTGCACTAAAATATTTACAGCGCATTTTTCTGTGGCGGCAAAGATTTGGACATTGAGAGGATGTCCATCAATTGGGGAATGGCTGAACAAGTTGTAGTATATGAATGTGATAGAATACTGTGGAGCTAGAAGAAATGACAAGGAGAATGGTTTCAGAAAAACCTGGGAATACTTATGTAAACTGATGCAAAGTGAAGTCAGCAGAACCAGAACATTGTACACAGTAATAGTAATATTGTAATGATAATCAATTGTAAAAAAAAAATTAGCTACTCTAATCAGTATAATGACCCATGACAATTCCAAAGGTGTGTCCTGTGTAGAAAGAGACACCTAGAGATTTCAACTGGACTCCCAGTCGGATTCCCTATGTGTCACAGAGATCCCCAGAGGAAAAAAAAAAAGAGTGTTCTAAGTAGTTGCAGAGATTCAAAAGAATTTTATAGGATTAAACCCAGTTTGTGCGCGTGGGCCATTTGTGAAAAGAGGCATCCCAATTTCACCTTTGGACTCTGTGTTTGTATGTTGTAGCTCTTGGTATCTAAGTGTTGTTGCGCAGGCATCAAGCCAAATCAGCTGGATTTTCACTTAAGGGTGAGGGGATGACCAGTCAACCCCATGTCCTAAATCTCTGCAGGAAGAGCCTCACATGACCTAGGAAGCTCTAAAGGGATTAGGTTTCCTTTTGAGATAGGACACTTGATATTCTTTGTCTTTTCTTTACCTTTGACTCTGGGAAGGAATTTTAGAGTATGTTGTTAAGTACTCAACAATCAGTAGCCTCTGATAAACATTGCAAAATGTTATTTATTGAATCTGCACGGCTCTGTGGTAGAGAAATTATGATTTCTATCATTTTCATTATGTTGGCTGGGCTTACCCATGGACAATGAATATTTCACTAATTGTTTAGATTTGTTTGTATTAGTGTGAAAAGTGTTTTGTGTGTATGTGTGTAACTGTATGATTTATGCCAGGTTGACCATTTTGAGACTTTTTTCCTATATGGCATTAAGGAAACTAGTAAGAAGACAATGCTTATGCTTCTCTGGGACCCCAGAAAACTCTTCTAGATTAACACTATAGACAATGTGTTAAAAATGCACCCTGGTTGATTTGCCAAATTTTTTGCCAAAATTTTTAATAACAGAGGGGAGCAATTAATGTGGGGAATGGTCAGTGGCAAGGCTTGGTGAACATACTTCTGGGCATGTATAATGGAGAGACCCTTCCCCTCTCTTTTGGGCAAGAGTATGTTTCCTCTGGCTGCTTCCTGGTGGTGAAAAGTCTTTTAATTTATTGCTGAGACAGGATTGAGTGTTCATACAGAGGGTTCAAGCAAACAATCTTTTGTTCTCTTTGGTAGATTTTGAAAGAGGAGGAAGAACTCTGAATGGGAAAGGGATATCAGTCCCTCTCCCTGACTTGGTTGCTGTGTGTCCATGAATGCATTTAGCATTCTGTTTATATTGACTTTTATGTATCTAACCTTTCTTGATCTTAGGTGAATGAGTATCTGCAAATGGGACAGATCAGATCATAACCTTGTGAACTTCAAAAGATGGAAAAAGCCATCAGAGGTCCAGTAAATGTAATTGGTAGCAGAGACTGATGATAGCAGCTGAGTTTGGTAAGGAGTCAGCTCTGAGGAGTGAAGTCTTCGACCCAGCCCAGCAAGGAACTGAGCCATCAGCTGTGCCACAGCCAGAAATGAACTCCCTGAGGACTCTGAGAAAGGGGAAAAGGACTTCCATGGTCACCCCACCCCCAACCCCAGGTTGGAACAGGGAATGTTTTGTAGAACTCACTGTAAGTTTGAATCCACTCTCCTCAGGAACTGTGTGGGTGTATAGAAAAGTGTACCCCTTGGGTTTTGTTCTTTGATCCTTGCTATACCTTCTCACTAAATATCCCTTTGTGAAGGCTAATTGGTGTTAATTAGTGAATTGGGGAATAATCTACTGGTTACAAGACATTGGGGGAATATACCAGATTGGGGACTCATGAATAATAGTAGAGGATTGATAATTTGACATATAGATAGGGAGATGATAGAGATTAATAGATAGATAGAGAGATGATAGAGAGATGAAGAAAGACAGATAGATAGATAGATAGATAGATAGATAGATAGATAGATTGATTGATTTATTAAGTACTGTACTAAGCATTAGGGGTGCAAATAAAAGCAAACAAAACAATTCTTGCTCTCAAGGAGCTTAAATTCAAATAAGGACCACAATACATAAGGGGGATCTGAAAGTTGGGGTAGGGTTAAGAGGCTGGTAGCATTTTTGGAGATATCTTGAATGTGACATAGAGGCCTAGAACTGAGCAAGATAAGGCCAACACTGGCTATGAAAGCTCAGTGAGTCTCTAGGATAGAATCCCATTCTCAGGTGGGAAGGAAACAGGAAAGATGGCTGATTGAGTACAGTACAAGCTAAATGGTGTCCAAGCTGGCCTTTCAAAGTCCAACATAACTCCAGGTTCTAGAAACCAGCCCTGTCTTCTCAGAATTATCCCTAGGATCCTGAGGGGGAGCAGCAGTAAACCCCTCAACTGGGAACCTAACCTGCTGGTCCAATTTAAGCTGTGAGAGTACGCCTTAGGGTGTGTGTTACGTGATGCACATTTCTGTACAACTTTTTCCTTTTAAATAGATTCCTTGCTATTTAGTCATAATTGTGAGATCATTGAATCAATCCTAATAATAACTGGCATTTCTATAGTTCTCTAATGTTTACAAAGCATTTTCATTCCCCATAGGAGGCCTGTGGGTTAGGTTATGTGAGTATTATTATACTGGGGCCAATTTTAAAACTCTTATTGCTTCTGGCCTCATAAAAGTTATTTTGAGAGGTAGGGTGGAGTCATGGATAAGGGCCTAGCCTAAGAGTAAGGAGACCCATATTCAGATCCCTCCTCTGACCCGTACTAGCGCGAGGACCACGGTCAAGCTATTTAACCTGTCAGTGCCTCAGGAATACCTCTAGGATTACAATTTACAGATATGTTGCTGATCTGCATGAGGGGAAAGAGATTTCATGCCATGGAAGGCAGGCTCTCATTCCTTTGAAACCACTCCCTCCAAAAATATATCTGATATGGTAGCCCTGCAAAAAAGATGGCACCAGTTTATAGCTCCTCCAACAGCATATCTTTTTAATTCTTTTTTTATCTATGTGATTGACTTGATGAGTAAAAGATGGTACCTCAAAGTATACCCTTTCAACTGACTTTTAAATCCTGACAATGAAGAAGAGTCAGAGAGGTTTGCTGGGATCTTCCTTTCTGAATCAGGGCCTCAGATGAACTCATGGGGACTACCAAGGGGACTCTTGTAAGAAAAGGGAGGAGTAAAAACATCCGAGGCCTCAGAGTGAGTCCCCCAAATAGCTAGGAATAAGAGAACAGAGAGGAGAAGAGTGGGAGAGCATTTCTAGAGTTAACAAAAAGTTGTCTTTAGTGGGCAAAGTGGGTAGTATATTGAATTGCCCTGTTTCCTAGGTAAGAGGAACATTTTAATAGTATCTGAGTTGTATTTATCCCCAGGCTCCATTGGGTAGAGGAAGGGAGATATCTAGTTAGAAAAGTAAATATCCATATGTAGCAGCCCCTCTGGAGTACCCTCATTCCTGGATTGGGTTCCCCAAAGAATAGCTACCTCAGCTTTAAGGTACTCTGTGGGTCCATACTTTTAAAACTATGCAGCTCATGAGCCCCAACTGGTGCACTTGCCTTCAATAATCAGCCAATTGACATAATTGTCTTAAAGCAAAGAGATTCACCAAAATAACATAGGATGAACAATAGCAACAAAACATTCCCCCATCAATCTGGAGCACAGTCTCCCACAAATGCTTACATTGTCAATGGGAAGAGTAAGTACCCACAGAGGCTATGGTAGTAGAAAGGTGCAGACTTAGGGAATATGTGGACAAATCAGCTCACACCTCCAGGACTTCAAGGTCCCAATGTCTTTTCTCTTTTCATAGTATTCTTATGGTGTCCCTCCCAGTGCAGCATCTCTGATGGGCAGGTTGCTTATCTGGGCATCTTCCTCTCCACAGCCTAACTCTTGACAGGCAAGAATTAACACTCTCGGGGCAGCTAAGTGGTGCAGTGGATAGAGCACTGGCTCTGAAGTCAGGAGAACCTGAGTTCAAATCTGGCCTCAGACCAAACACTTGACACTTACTAGCTGTGTGACCCTGGGCAAGTCACTTAACCCCAATTGCCTAAAAAAAAAAGAAAAAAGAATTAACAACTCTCTGAACTCAGATAATCTCTATTCTGTATTCTCAAACAGTCTCAACTCTAGTCTCATGCCTTGACTGGGCCTGCTGCCTGTTAGATGTGGTGGCTTCCAACCAGGTGAGTAGTTCTGTTGCAAATCCCTATAGCTAATGATTGAGGGATAGAGGAAGAGAAATCTCAAGGGCTAGGTTTTCTTTTCTCAATTCACACAGCCTGCATTTCTCAGAACTCTTTCTTCCTTGGACTCTCAATGGACTCTCTAGAGAGTGTGCCATGCTTTTTAAAGGGTCACCAGGAAGGTGGCTGATCCTTGGCCATCCAATGGCTAGCTGTCCTTGAATTCCATCAGTTTAAATTGGAGAACTTCTTTGTATCTTGTAAAGGAGTAGCAGGGGGTAGACATACCTTTGCACTCCCTTGAATGCCTTAATACACACCAGTTCTGTATGGAGGCAGCCAAAGGGGTGTTGAGCTCCTTTGTGCTACAGAAGATCATTACAAAGACATGTAGTGGCTGAATCCTACTCATGTGCACACCCGCCTGTGCACCTCAGCTTTCCATCAATTGGCCCAGCAACGCCAGCAGGCATACACCAGCACATCTACCACCAGCTGATCTATTTGACCCCTGCCAACTGTTATGACTTTGTCAATGCAATCACAGTGCTTTTTACCTGACCCCTATGGGCATGATGCAGTCCAACAATGTCCTGCAGAATCTCAAACACGGCAAGCTGACCAAGATGCTGTGGTACCGTGTATCACCTGACATGACCACCTTCTCCCCTTGAGCCTGGCACCCCTTGCCCTTCACTTTCCCCAAAACCCATCTGGACACATGGGTACATCAGACATATGGCAGACCTTTAACCAGCTGGATAGATTCACTCTGCTTGGAAGGGGTAGGAGGTCCTTTGTAACCCAGACCAGCAGCTGTGCCTAGAACATTGTGGCTAGGCCTGACAGGGGAGGGCAAGCTGGGGACATGCTGCCTCTAGGCCCTAGAGCCAATGGCTCTTTAGTTGGGGGTCAGGGGAAGCAGGCAGCTCTGCTTGGGAGGCAGATGCCAGGCAGCTTCTGATATTTATTTGGCATTTATAAATATATACACTCTCCTTTTTTTACTCATCTGTCTGGGCCTCTCTATTCCTTAAATGTGAGGGAGATGAGAACTCTATCCCCTCCAGGAAACAGTAACTGGGAGTCCTAAGCCTTAACCTCCTGCCTCAACATCAGCAAGACAGAAAAAAAGGAAAAAGAATGATGTTTATTAAGGATCTTTCTAGCCTTGTTTTCAGCTCCAAGAGCTGCTGTCTGACCTCGTCCCCATTCAGTGTGAATGACATAGGCCCAGCAGACTTTGACTGAAGGGCTCATAAGCAAGAGAACCTACTGACCTTGGAGACTGAGTCCCCTGAGAAAAATAAAGATGTACTGCTGGGAATGTGGGATGGCGGTCAATAGAGAATGAAAAAAAAAACACAACCCTAGCACATCACTGTCTCTGTTGTTTATCTCATATTCTGTGGTTTCGTCAGCTGGGCTGGTAGGAAATGAATTAATCAGAAGAATTCTGCTCCCTACTATATGTAAATGTGAGCAGAACTCCAAAAGGGTGGACCTGCCAATTATCAGTAAGCTTCCTGATTGAGAGTAAGCCTAGAATTAAAGAATAGATGAGTAAATCTGGTAAAGTGTCTGGACAAATACCAAGCTTATGTTCCATGTGTATGTGTGTGTGTATAAAGAGATTGCTCTGGAATGTGGGCCAACATTTGTTTGGGAGAGGGGATGAGTAAGGAGGGAGAAGCCACAAGCAAGCATCAGGCTGGGATGTGGGCTCCAGCACCAGAGAAATTCATAGGAAACAATTGAATTAATTTAAAAATTAAATTAGCTGAAAAGCCTAGGCACACCTAGTTAGTCTGAGAAGAAATCTTTTATAAGATTTAAGTCTTATTTACCTAGCAAAACTATTTTTGTTATTTCTGTCTATTATTCTTCCTTTTCTACACAAAGCCTAATGATTCACATCTCTACAGCCTTAAAGTATACAGATCACTTTCTCCCATCGGTCCCATGAGGTTGGTTGTATTAAGTATTATCCCCATTTTGCAGATATAAAAAGGGAGGTAAAATCGTTTGCTTGAGGTCCCACAGCTAATGAAAGCTGAAAAAGGCAGTTGGCTGACACTCTAGGTCTAGTGACTCTAGCTTTACTGTTTTATCTACTTCTAGTTATCTAGAAAATACACTTCTGTGGTCTAACGTACATAGCAGCAGTGATAAAAAAAAAAAGGAAAAAGGAAGCAAGTGCTTGAAGTGGGCATCCTCTTGAAGTAGCATCAGCTGAAAAAGCTAAAGATCGTTGGTGATCAGCTGTGACAGATCTCTGAGCCCAGGGAGCCAGGAGACTTTGGTCATTTGTGGAACTTGGGTTCAGAGATCAGTAAAATTTAGAAAAGAGTGAAAAGGAGAAGGCCATGGGGTGAAGGGCAAGATCCTTCTAAGCTGACCATGGTGAGCCAGGCCAAAGGGTCCAATCTTACACAACAAATAACTTTTGGGTTGGATTCTGCAGAGTTCTGAACTCAGCATGAGTTCATGAGTTCTCATAGCTTCTTTCTTCAGATTATTCCTCCAAAGACAATGTGGGAAT